GTTTTGGGAACAAGAAAAAGTCACATGGGGCCAAATCCGGTGAATATGGTGGCTGAGGCATTATTGTGGTGTTGTTTTTGGCCAAAAATCCAAATCCTTTGATCCATATTTTTCGGTAGCAAAAATCGCCGAGCTCGCAAAACAACTTGTAACTTTACGCCTCTCACAACCAAACAAAGAGGATGTTCCATTGAAACTTGGTACAGATGTTAGGGAAGAGTGTACCAATATAACAAAAAAAAAAAATCGATAATCGAAAAATTTGAAATTCGCGAAATTTGAAGAGTCACCTTACTTTTGAAACCCTCGTATAATGTCAATAAATTCATATATATTCATTAAAATAATAATAACGGAAGCTAAGTATGTTTTAATTGATAATATTGAGTCTGAAATGCAAACTTCGCTATGTTAAATTTCTTTCCAAAAATGTTTTCCAACAGTACACTTGATTTAAAAAATTTGTGTTACTTTTGCTATCGATTACTATCGAAACGTAAAACATCATTTAATTTATTCTAACGGGATAGCGCCGCCACTAGTTTTGTATTTTAGATATGGAAAACAGTTGTAAGTGTTAAAAAGTTCGACAATGTTTAATTTAAAAAAGCCGAAATTGATTGTTTTGTCGTTATAGCTTAATCCTGTGTGTAATCTAACCTATTTGGTTGGTGGATGTTCATAAGCTGATTAATTCCTGATGTTATGTTATAGCCATGGGCTAGCCAATGGGCGTAGAATTCAGAGTAAAAGAGAGAGTTTAAAGACCTTGAATGAAAATCAAAGGAAGTTAACACAGATCACAAATAGACAAGAGATAATCAATAAGGACATTAAAACTACGTTTTATAACATTACAGAACACATAAATAGGGAACAACAGATAATAAATAATTTCCTCAACGGCTACAAAAACAGCATCTCAAAGACTCTAAACTCGGAGTAAAAATTTTTACATACAATTCAATACATTTCTGGAATTAACATAAGCATCGACATATTATAAAATTATTTAAAAAACATAGAAGAAAGCATGTTATTGGCAAATCTAAATATTGTATCAACATTTATTGTATCACAAGAACTAAAAATTATTAGACAAGAACTGGACGACCCGAAATTACGGGAATTGTCAGACGAAAAAGATGCTAGATCTAGACGCGTTTATGATAGGAATTAAGATTAATTTTAGAATCAGAATCCCTACATTTAAACAGACACATTATCAATTTACACACATCGTCCCACTCCCCATAAATCAATCCAAATTCTTAATTGTCCCAAACTATATGGCCTATCATAACGAAAATGATATACACTACTTTTCAAAGAAATGTAATAAAATTCATAAGTATTTTATTTGTGAAAACTCAATTCAGAATAAGAGACCGATTGCCTTGATGACATTCTTACAGTGAATTATGCAAAATGTAAAATCGAAAACATAGTAATGCAAGAAAGCATTACCGAGATAGAACCAGCACACATATTAATCCTAAACACTATACATTCAACTTTACAATCAAATTGTACGGCAAACATTTTCCTAAGCGGATCCGCATTAGTTACCTTTTAAAAATTGCACAGTTTATATCAATCAAATAACATATAATAAAGAATTGTCACAGTCTGAACATAGTGTGCATATCTAAAACTTATCTTGTTTTTATACCCGTTACTCGTAGAGTAAAAGGGTATACTAGATTCGTTGAAAAGTATGTAACAGATAGAAGGAAGCTTTTGCGACCCTATAAAGTATATATATTCTTGATCAGGATCAATAGCGAAGTCGATTGAGCCATGTCCGTCTGTCCGTCCGTCCGTCCGTCCGTCCGTCCGTCTGTCCGTCCGTCCGTCCGTCCGTCCGTCCGTCCGTATGAACGCTGAGATCTCAGGAACTATAGCAGATACAAGGTTGAGATTAAGCATGAAGATTCTTGAGGTCCCGGGACAGCGCAAGTTTATTACAGCATCCTGCCACGCCCACGCTAACGCCCACAAATCGCAAAAAACTAAAATTGCTGAAATCTCAGTAACTATTGCAGTTAGAAAGTTGAAATTCAGAAAGTATAATCTTTAGATGACAGCGCATCTTATAGTAGTACTACTATCCGGCCACACCCACCCATACGCCCACAAGGCTCAAAAGACGGTTTTCGGATTTTCTAGAAAAGCTGATATCTCGGTAACTATAAGAGATAGAAAGTTCGGATTAAGCATGTATGTTTCTATGATGCTCCCAATGCGAATTGTTTTTTCCGATCACGCCACGCCCACTCTAACGCCCACAAAACCCGAAAAACCAAAAATGCAAAAATCTCGAAAACTATAAGAGCTACACAATTTTGCTTAGGAACACGTATTTAGGAGATGCCTCTGCAACTTGCCACGAAGTTGCATTTGGCCACGCCCCTTCTAACGCCCTCAAACCGCGGAAAACTGTGGAGTCTATAATATAATTATGAATGCCTTCGTTTGACCTTGTGTAACTTATTTCTGTCAATATCTATCGATTTACCAAAGATTTTTCAAATCGGAACATTATTTCGCTATTTATGAAGAAATTAAGGTTATAAGGCTCCACATGGGCAGTGACGTCACTATAAGCATACTCAACATACTTCCTCTGACAATAGGTGGCGCCTTGTGAATTTCCACTAGCAAAATTAATATTTTAAAATTGTGTAAAACAGTAACGGGTATCTTATAGTCGCGGCACTCGACTATAGCGTTTCCTCTTGTTATTCTTCTTTTTCTGTTCTCGCACAGTGGGCTTCTTTCGATTAAATAGTGCTTAAAAATAATAATTATAAATCATTATGTCTGAAATTGTCTGCTACTTAAAATCTTGTAACAAAATAATTACAACTAACCAGCCAAGCGTTTTGTGTTGGCTTTGTGATAATATGGTTCATGCCAAATGTGCCAATTTCCGTGCCACCGTATCGGATGTTTTGGCCCGAGGCGATTCCGGCTTACATTATTGCTGTGAAAGTTGTCGAGGGACTCAAAGGGAAATGAGATCTTTTATGCGGCAGACAAAAATGGTTTTCATGAGGTGCTCGGCGCTTTTCGTAAAGCCAGCGATTTGCTCACGGCGCTGGACACCCAATTTAATAATGTCCAATTGTTAAATGAGTCTCCAAAGCGTAAAAATCAAACTCTTTGTGTGCCGCAGATCACTAGTTCCCTTCTCGCTCCCACTCTTACCTTCAGAACACTGAAGTGTCGCCGCAGCTGTTTGGAACGCCTTTGGCCAACACTCCGGTGAGTACGAAAAATTCGGAACCGAATTTTCTGGACATGATGGTAGGAAAACGTTAGATAGTTTGTCTGCTTCAAGGCTCCTGGCTCCTACAGAGCCAATCTCCATTAACATCAACCCACCCGATACACCGCAGGGGGAATTTCGTGCCCGGACTACCGGCGTGTACTGGCGGTGCAGGATCAGAACCTGCTACACCAAAGCCCCCTAAAGGTAATCCCACCTGAGAAACATATATTTGTTTTCCGGCATTCCGAGAATACGTCTGAGTCAGACGTATTGGCATACATACAAGCCAGAACGAAAGCCGACATTAAGGTGGATAACATAACTAAATTTAAATATCCTTATAACAGAATAGTATCATTATTTAAGATTCGCGTCCCCTCGGTGGAATTTGACAAAATGTGCTCAACCAAGTTCTGGCCGGAACACATTTTCGTCCAAGAACATCGACCGGGACATAAAAAAAATAAAATTAATCGACCTGCGGCGGTAAAACTCCCTCAAACAAAAGCCATTGAAAAAAAAACTAACATCGTCTCTCATTCTTTCCTATCAGAACACAAGGGGGTTGCGTACTTCCTACTTTGTTTTCTGAGAGCTTTTAGAGTATGGATCTTGCGTCTGGAACCCCCAGTACGCGGTCCACCAAGACCGTATAGAATCAATTCAAAAAGCTTTCTCTTATTTGCTCTTCGTGGCCAAAATTGGGATGCAAACTTACATCTTCCCTCCCTATAAAAGCAGACTATTACTAATAAACTTACCTACCCTTGCTAACCGTAGGACAATGCTTGGCGTTGTTTTTATTAACAATCTTATTAGTGGGGACATTGATAGTCAAGCCCTAATAGGTCGCTTAAATATCAATGTGCCCGCTAGACCCACTAGAAACTATATTCCCTTATCCTTGAGACATTGCAGCTCGAACTTTGCCCTTCATGAACCATTTAGGGTATTATGTTCGAGTTACAATACCCTCTACAATACCCTACTAACATAAAAATCGTCTTACTAAACCACTTAGCTCATATATAATTAATTTATTTATTTAATATTCCACTCGGTACTATCCCCGTGTTCCGAGCCGTACGATAGACGGCAGCGCCCCTCGGTCGGTTGGGCGGGAGGTGGGTTGCGCGTTAAGCAACGGGAGTCGCGAAAAAAAAAAAATTGAATCTACAGTCCCAATAATTTAAAATATCAATTTCACGGAACAAATTGAAGACATCAACTTACATAAATTAAATTTAAGATCCATCAACGCTTCCAATTCAATCATCTACTGGAAGAAATTTACAACTACGAATTTTGAGGTATATCATAATTAGAACTATAATAATTATCATTCTTGTTAGTTTCGTGTCGCCCACGCCTTCACTTTGGCCGTCACATCAATCCAGGAGGGAAGGAGTTACCGACCAGTCGGTAGGCAACGAGCCTTCCGCCCAAGCCACCCAGAGCTACCCCTGGAATTGGTACGCTGAATGGGTGGCCACTCGTCATATACAATTAATTAGCTTTGGCCAGATGCTAGGTCATCATCTTAGCCGGAGCGAGCTGTCGGACGGTTTGTCATCGTTATTTAGTTTACCTACATACATACAAATGCAATTCTGTTGCAACCCAAACATTGTCCAAGCCGGGCAAAGACCATTTGAGTCGATGCCCTGCTAACGTTTTGCTGACATTGCAACAGGATGCCCCGACCCTTCAAGACAGGATATACGACACGAGCAGCCACTTGGACTGGATTCTTTGTAAACATTTATTTATTTCTTTTTGTATTTCGGTACAAGCATTTATGTATTAGTATATAAGAATCAATGTACAACTCGATAGCGAAGGCGACTTGGTCTGCGCAGAAGAATATATTTTGGCAGTCTTGTACGACAGCTCAAACAGCGAAGTCATCATTGTTCCAATTATTTACCCTAAAACTACCAACTTAGCAACCAACTATCTAAAATCCCTCGGACCACTCCCTGAAGGAAGGAAGATACATAACTCCCGCTGCTGACCAAGAAGACATCTGCACACGGCGAGCATCGGCCAGAAGACTCCCTGTGACGCAAGCCCCGGCGGCCCCGTGAGAAAACACACCGGAACTATGGAATAAGGAACATGGACAATATTATTATTGGGTTGGTGTGCTAGAAGAGAGAGTTATAATGAAAATAAATGAAATAAATAAATTATAATAAAAAATAAAATATGAGATAAAAAGAGAGAATAGAAAACGAACTAAATTAGTTCTGGTACCTTGAATTTAGGGGTATTTCTAAAGGATTAGTTAGTTAGTAAGTTCACATTTTTCTCCACAAGTTGTTTCTGTAAATCTGAAATTGTGCTCTTAAATAGGAAAAATATAAAATAAAATTAATATTAGAAGTAGAAAAATAAATTTTCTTTTGCAATATTCATCAATAAGCAACATACGTCAAACTGACGCCAGTTCATTGTCAATGTATGTAATACAAATAATATGTATATCAGGATTTTTAAAATAAATATTTGACGGTGTCGAAGAAAATTTTTGTAGATTATCATAAAAAAAAATTTTTTTAAAGTACCTTACTCTTTCAATCTGTTAGGACAACTAAGCTCAGCATTTTATGACTATACGAGGTGTGTTCAAAAAGTAAGGTGACTCTTCAAATTTCGCGAATTTCAAATTTTTCGATTATCGAAACCTTTTAGAAGTTATACGAGGTGTGTTCAAAAAGTAAGGTGACTTTTCAAATTTCAAATTTTTCAAATTTTTCGATTATCTTCAGTTTTGGGAACAAGAAAAAGTCACATGGGGCCAAATCCGGTGAATATGGTGGCTGAGGCATTATTGTGGTGTTGTTTTTGGCCAAAAAATCCAAATCCTTTGATCCATATTTTTCGGTAGCAAAAAATCGCCGAGCTCGCAAAACAACTTGTAACTTTACGCCTCTCACAACCAAACAAAAGAGGATGTTCCATTGAAACTTGGTACAGATGTTAGGGAAGAGTGTACCAATATAACAAAACAAAAAAATCGATAATCGAAAAATTTGAAATTCGCGAAATTTGAAGAGTCACCTTACTTTTTGAACACACCTCGTATAATGTCAATAAATTCATATATATTCATTAAAATAATAATAACGGAAGCTAAGTATGTTTTAATTGATAATATTGAGTCTGAAATGCAAACTTCGCTATGTTAAATTTCTTTCCAAAAATGTTTTCCAACAGTACACTTGATTTAAAAAATTTGTGTTACTTTTGCTATCGATTACTATCGAAACGTAAAACATCATTTTATTTATTCTATCGGGATAGCGCCGCCACTAGTTTTGTATTTTAGATATGGAAAACAGTTGTAAGTGTTAAAAAGTTCGACAATGTTTAATTTAAAAAAGCCGAAATTGATTGTTTTGTCGTTATAGCTTAATCCTGTGTGTAATCTAACCTATTTGGTTGGTGGATGTTCATAAGCTGATTAATTCCTGATGTTATGTTATAGCCATGGGCTAGCCAATGGGCGTAGAATTCAGAGTAAAAGAGAGAGTTTAAAGACCTTGAATGAAAATCAAAGGAAGTTAACACAGATCACAAATAGACAAGAGATAATCAATAAGGACATTAAAACTACGTTTTATAACATTACAGAACACATAAATAGGGAACAACAGATAATAAATAATTTCCTCAACGGCTACAAAAACAGCATCTCAAAGACTCTAAACTCGGAGTAAAAATTTTTACATACAATTCAATACATTTCTGGAATTAACATAAGCATCGACATATTATAAAATTATTTAAAAAACATAGAAGAAAGCATGTTATTGGCAAATCTAAATATTGTATCAACATTTATTGTATCACAAGAACTAAAAATTATTAGACAAGAACTGGACGACCCGAAATTACGGGAATTGTCAGACGAAAAAAGATGCTAGATCTAGACGCGTTTATGATAGGAATTAAGATTAATTTTAGAATCAGAATCCCTACATTTAAACAGACACATTATCAATTTACACACATCGTCCCACTCCCCATAAATCAATCCAAATTCTTAATTGTCCCAAACTATATGGCCTATCATAACGAAAATGATATACACTACTTTTCAAAGAAATGTAATAAAATTCATAAGTATTTTATTTGTGAAAACTCAATTCAGAATAAGAGACCGATTGCCTTGATGACATTCTTACAGTGAATTATGCAAAATGTAAAATCGAAAACATAGTAATGCAAGAAAGCATTACCGAGATAGAACCAGCACACATATTAATCCTAAACACTATACATTCAACTTTACAATCAAATTGTACGGCAAACATTTTCCTAAGCGGATCCGCATTAGTTACCTTTAAAAATTGCACAGTTTATATCAATCAAATAACATATAATAAAGAATTGTCACAGTCTGAACATAGTGTGCATATCTAAAACTTATCTTGTTTTTATACCCGTTACTCGTAGAGTAAAAGGGTATACTAGATTCGTTGAAAAGTATGTAACAGATAGAAGGAAGCTTTTGCGACCCTATAAAGTATATATATTCTTGATCAGGATCAATAGCGAAGTCGATTGAGCCATGTCCGTCTGTCCGTCCGTCCGTCCGTCCGTCCGTCCGTCCGTCCGTATGAACGCTGAGATCTCAGGAACTATAGCAGATACAAGGTTGAGATTAAGCATGAAGATTCTTGAGGTCCCGGGACAGCGCAAGTTTATTACAGCATCCTGCCACGCCCACGCTAACGCCCACAAATCGCAAAAAACTAAAATTGCTGAAATCTCAGTAACTATTGCAGTTAGAAAGTTGAAATTCAGAAAGTATAATCTTTAGATGACAGCGCATCTTATAGTAGTACTACTATCCGGCCACACCCACCCATACGCCCACAAGGCTCAAAAGACGGTTTTCGGATTTTCTAGAAAAGCTGATATCTCGGTAACTATAAGAGATAGAAAGTTCGGATTAAGCATGTATGTTTCTATGATGCTCCCAATGCGAATTGTTTTTTCCGATCACGCCACGCCCACTCTAACGCCCACAAAACCCGAAAAACCAAAAATGCAAAAATCTCGAAAACTATAAGAGCTACACAATTTTGCTTAGGAACACGTATTTAGGAGATGCCTCTGCAACTTGCCACGAAGTTGCATTTGGCCACGCCCCTTCTAACGCCCTCAAACCGCGGAAATGGTAGGAAAACGTTAGATAGTTTGTCTGCTTCAAGGCTCCTGGCTCCTACAGAGCCAATCTCCATTAACATCAACCCACCCGATACACCGCAGGGGAATTTCGTGCCCGGACTACCGGCGTGTACTGGCGGTGCAGGATCAGAACCTGCTACACCAAAGCCCCTAAAGGTAATCCCACCTGAGAAACATATATTTGTTTTCCGGCATTCCGAGAATACGTCTGAGTCAGACGTATTGGCATACATACAAGCCAGAACGAAAGCCGACATTAAGGTGGATAACATAACTAAATTTAAATATCCTTATAACAGAATAGTATCATCATTTAAGATTCGCGTCCCCTCGGTGGAATTTGACAAAATGTGCTCAACCAAGTTCTGGCCGGAACACATTTTCGTCCAAGAACATCGACCGGGACATAAAAAAAAAAAAAATTAATCGACCTGCGGCGGTAAAACTCCCTCAAACAAAAGCCATTGAGCAAACCCTCGCAAAAAACTAACATCGTCTCTCATTCTTTCCTATCAGAACACAAGGGGGTTGCGTACTTCCTACTTTGTTTTCTGAGAGCTTTTAGAGTATGGATCTTGCGTCTGGAACCCCCAGTACGCGGTCCACCAAGACCGTATAGAATCAATTCAAAAAAGCTTTCTCTTATTTGCTCTTCGTGGCCAAAATTGGGATGCAAACTTACATCTTCCCTCCTATAAAAGCAGACTATTACTAATAAACTTACCTACCCTTGCTAACCGTAGGACAATGCTTGGCGTTGTTTTTATTAACAATCTTATTAGTGGGGACATTGATAGTCAAGCCCTAATAGGTCGCTTAAATATCAATGTGCCCGCTAGACCCACTAGAAACTATATTCCCTTATCCTTGAGACATTGCAGCTCGAACTTTGCCCTTCATGAACCATTTAGGGTATTATGTTCGAGTTACAATACCCTCTACAATACCCTACTAACATAAAAATCGTCTTACTAAACCACTTAGCTCATATATAATTAATTTATTTATTTAATATTCCACTCGGTACTATCCCCGTGTTCCGAGCCGTACGATAGACGGCAGCGCCCCTCGGTCGGTTGGGCGGGAGGTGGGTTGCGCGTTAAGCAACGGGAGTCGCGAAAAAAAAAAAAATTGAATCTACAGTCCCAATAATTTAAAATATCAATTTCACGGAACAAATTGAAGACATCAACATACATAAATTAAATTTAAGATCCATCAACGCTTCCAATTCAATCATCTACTGGAAGAAATTTACAACTACGAATTTTGGAGGTATATCATAATTAGAACTATAATAATTATCATTCTTGTTAGTTTCGTGTCGCCCACGCCTTCACTTTGGCCGTCACATCAATCCAGGAGGGAAGGAGTTACCGACCAGTCGGTAGGCAACGAGCCTCCGCCCAAGCCACCCAGAGCTACCCTGGAATTGGTACGCTGAATGGGTGGCCACTCGTCATATACAATTAATTAGCTTTGGCCAGATGCTAGGTCATCATCTTAGCCGGAGCGAGCTGTCGGACGGTTTGTCATCGTTATTTAGTTTACCTACATACATACAAATGCAATTCTGTTGCAACCCAAACATTGTCCAAGCCGGGCAAAGACCATTTGAGTCGATGCCCTGCTAACGTTTTGCTGACATTGCAACAGGATGCCCCGACCCTTCAAGACAGGATATACGACACGAGCAGCCACTTGGACTGGATTCTTTGTAAACATTTATTTATTTCTTTTGTATTTCGGTACAAGCATTTATGTATTAGTATATAAGAATCAATGTACAACTCGATAGCGAAGGCGACTTGGTCTGCGCAGAAGAATATATTTTGGCAGTCTTGTACGACAGCTCAAACAGCGAAGTCATCATTGTTCCAATTATTTACCCTAAAACTACCAACTTAGCAACCAACTATCTAAAATCCCTCGGACCACTCCCTGAAGGAAGGAAGATACATAACTCCCGCTGCTGACCAAGAAGACATCTGCACCCGGCGAGCATCGGCCAGAAGACTCCCTGTGACGCAAGCCCCGGCGGCCCCGTGAGAAAACACACCGGAACTATGGAATAAGGAACATGGACAATATTATTATTGGGTTGGTGTGCTAGAAGAGAGAGTTATAATGAAAATAAATGAAATAAATAAATTATAATAAAAATAAAATATGAGATAAAAAGAGAGAATAGAAAACGAACTAAATTAGTTCTGGTACCTTGAATTTAGGGGTATTTCTAAAGGATTAGTTAGTTAGTAAGTTCACATTTTTCTCCACAAGTTGTTTCTGTAAATCTGAAATTGTGCTCTTAAATAGGAAAAATATAAAATAAAATTAATATTAGAAGTAGAAAAATAAATTTTCTTTTGCAATATTCATCAATAAGCAACATACGTCAAACTGACGCCAGTTCATTGTCAATGTATGTAATACAAATAATATGTATATCAGGATTTTTAAAATAAATATTTGACGGTGTCGAAGAAAATTTTTGTAGATTATCATAAAAAAAAATTTTTTTAAAGTACCTTACTCTTTCAATCTGTTAGGACAACTAAGCTCAGCATTTTATGACTATATAATGTCAATAAATTCATATATATTCATTAAAATAATAATAACGGAAGCTAAGTATGTTTTAATTGATAATATTGAGTCTGAAATGCAAACTTCGCTATGTTAAATTTCTTTCCAAAAATGTTTTCCAACAGTACACTTGATTTAAAAAATTTGTGTTACTTTTGCTATCGATTACTATCGAAACGTAAAACATCATTTTATTTATTCTATCGGGATAGCGCCGCCACTAGTTTTGTATTTTAGATATGGAAAACAGTTGTAAGTGTTAAAAAGTTCGACAATGTTTAATTTAAAAAAGCCGAAATTGATTGTTTTGTCGTTATAGCTTAATCCTGTTCGTAATCTAACCTATTTGGTTGGTGGATGTTCATAAGCTGATTAATTCCTGATGTTATGTTATAGCCATGTTCCATCAGCTGATCGGCAGTCTACGCCGCTCCTACGCAACTAAAATGTGTGGGCACCAGGTGGCTTTAATGGCGCGAGGACTGCCAAAGAAGGAACCAATTAATGGAGTAAAAGACATAATTGTCATCGCATCCGGAAAAGGAGGTGTAGGCAAAAGCACAATCGCAGGTTGGCTACAAAGATATATTCTGAGCCATGGTGATGTTAGTTTGTCTTTTCAGCTAATTTCGCTTGCAGCATGGCGAGACTAGGAAAGCGGGTGGGATTGCTGGACGGGGATGTATTTGGGCCCACTGTTCCTCTTCTAATGAATGTCTATAATGAGCCAGTTGTAAACGAGAGAAATCGGATTATTCCGTCGCAAAACTATGATGTAAAATGTTTATCCATGGGTATGATCACACCCGTGGACGGAGCCGTAATTTGGCGCGGGCCTCTTGTGATGTCAGCCATACAACGTCTGTTAAAGGGTGCTGAATGGGGACTGTTAGATGTGTTAGTCATAGATACTCCACCAGGTACTGGAGATGTTCATCTTTCAGTGTTCCAGAATGCACCTATCAGTGGTGTTATTTTGGTAACAACGCCTCACATTGCTGCCGTACAAGTAACTTTAAAGGGTGCAAAGATGTACGAAAAGTTCAATATTCCAATTTACGGCGTAGTGGAGAACATGAGTTATTCTATTTGTAAAAACTGTAATCAACGCGTGGAGCTCTTTAGAGACAGCATAATGAATTCATTACCTCGTAAACTTATTTCCCTACCGCTTGACTTACACATATCGGAGTGCAACGAGAGTGGTATACCAATTGTTATAAAGTATCCGGACAGCGATTACACAAATTTATTTCTTCAATTAGCAAAGGAAATTTGTGAAATTCTTGATAAACATAACAATTTGTAATCCTATCCATGTGCGTATTCTCTAAGGAAGTTTTATATATGCATACATACATAAATATATACTTTTCTCGTTTCATTTTTGTTTGTTGCTCAATTTAAATAAATATTAATCGGCAGACCACGAAGAAATCCTTGCCGAGCTAAATTAAAGATCATATTTTTTTTTGGTTTTTGCTACCGCTCTCACTTTGACGAGAGCGGGAGCAGAGACGTAAACGAAAAATGATCTGCTTTGCTCTGCTCCGAGCTACGAAAAGTTTAGATCTATAGCTATAGAAATAGCAGAAAATAATATTCTGTGCTCTGCGTAGCCGTAGACATAGTCGAAAATTGAGAGCAAAGCAAAACATATTTTTTTTTGTGCTACGGCTCCCGGATATTTCTGTTTTGGCTATTCTGTTTCTTATGCATCGTAGTAAATGCAAACCCTGCTTATCAGAGGCCATTATATGTTAGGTGTCGCTGCGTCTTGCCGCATTCGTCGGCTCCGAATGAGTAGACTGGTACATACATATGTACATATATATAATGAAATGCTTGAACACTCGTAAGTTTAAAAATATATATTTTATTTTTATTAAACCGAATTATTACAAGATTCTTTGATGAAGAACACCGACTCGAACAATTTCGTGTCTTGAACTAAACTTCACATTCACTGGAATGTGGTGTAATATTTAACTTGGGAATTTATTATCTCTTTTGTCTGTATGTGTGAAATAGGTTCAATTTTTTTTATGTTGTTTACATAAATGGTTTGTGTATAGTCGGCTATGGAATTTGATATTATAAATTCATCCAGTTGGATGGTACAATTTTTGATTTTAATCTTATTGTTTCCATAGATAGAAATTTGATTATTTATACAGTTTTGATTTATAAAGGTTTTTGGTAAATTCCATGTTAATAATATATTTGGTTCTACATTATTTATTTTTTGGTTTTTGTGAGTCTTAGTGTATTTACATTCTGTTTCTTCCTGATTTATTATTCCAATTATACATTTATCAAATGTTTCTATTCCTGTTTCTTTCACAAAAACTTTCCCTTCATGAATATAAAATTCTTTAGATGTGTCTTCTGTTAATATATTTCCTAATCTATGGAATTATTTTAAAAATTGGTGTTTCAATTAATTTATTGGGAATTTGAGAAATAATCAGAATTTCATTTGTATCTGATTTTAACCATGTTGAAGTTTTTACTTTAAGTATTTTCTCTGAATTCACTTGATCTAAATAGTCATGTTTTAATAGTTTGGGGTTAAATATACCTAGACGAGTTAGTTGCATTCCTAGTTTTATATCTTCAACGTATTCTGTGAATTGCTAGAGATTGAAAATTAATACAGCTACTTGGTTATCTTTTTCTTTTTGTTCTTTGAAATTATTTATGATGTTCACGCCGCTATTAATGACATCAATTACCATATTTAAATCACTACTTTGGATAGAATTTTCTGATAGTTTTAATTTTGTCTTCTAATTCGGCTCTGTCTTCCTGATCTAGGGTTAATTGGACCTCTTCTGCTTCGTCTTACTATTTTTATTCCGTTTATTTCTCTATTTAATTTTTCAACTAAGTACCTAATTTGGAGAATATTTTCGAACGTTTTTGCTTCTTTTAAAAAGTTTTCATAAGTTCTTTGTGTTTTTGTTAGATTTACGCTTGTAGTAGGTAGTGATATTCGAATCTCTTAGGATTGTTATTATTCCTGTTTTGAATATGAAATATCCATTTTTCGCTTCGATCGGGTTTATCTCCATACTTTGTCCATTAGTTATTATTGCTAACTGGATTACTAGGATTAGTACGTGTAGTAGATTGGTCTTCTTCTTCAGTTCTTCTGGAATTATCAAATTTGCTTTTATTAAACTTCTTTTTCTTTTTATATTTTGACTTATAATGCATGATTTTCCTGACTCTTTAAGTTTCTTCATAATGTTTATCATCTATTTGTTTAATTTCACCAGTTTTCCAAAATGGGTTAGTAATTTTAGCTTTTACAATAGGAGATTGTCTATTTAGTGTCAATTTCATAATCACTTTGTTCATTTAATTTATAAATCTTTCGAATTTTGTTTTGTTGAGTGTTAAAATCAGGTGTTCCTGCGTATATGAATATATCTGCTGGTGTCCTCTTAGTCGTATTTTGTTTTGTTTTGTGATTGTATTTATATAAAATTGTTTCAAATTTAGTGTACTTGTTCTCAATGTTTTTCTCATTGCTTATAATTCGTAATTTCTCGTTTATCGTTTTGTGTAATCTTTCCACGTCTGATATTCCATTCTTACTTGTCGTAATGGAGATTTCTACTTCTTCTGATTCTAACCAGTTTTGTAGGGCTGCGCACATGAATGCTGAATCCTTGTCCTGCGTATATGAATATATCTGCTGGTGTCCTCTTATTGGTATTATGTTTTGTTTTGTGATTGTATGTATATAAAATTGTTTCAAATTTAGTGTACTTGCTCTCAATGTTTTTCTCATTGCTTATAATTCGTAATTTCTCGTTTATCGTTTTGTGTAATCTTTCCACGTCTGATATTCCATTCTAACTTGTAATGGAGATTTCTACTTCTTCTGATTTTAACCAGTTTTGTAGGGCTGCGCACATGAATGCTGAATCCTTGTCTGCCTTTATTTCTTGGAGTTTTCCCATATCATTGAATATTCTCATGATGGCTCTCTTCGCTTCCAGACAGTCTGGTCCTTTTACCTCAATTAATGTGGCAAATTTAGAATATATATCAATGCATTACAGAAACTGTTGATTACTGACAATGTAAAAATCCAGAACGTTCTCTTGCGTTATTAATTTTGGGCGTTTCGAATGACATTTGTGTATTCCGTCTTTGCTATGTTGCAAATTTCGCATTCATTGATTATGTTTTGAATAAGCTTCATGCTATCTGGGTAATAGTATTTCTCTTTTAACCAATTCGTGGTTTTTTCAATACCCGGGTGTAGGAATTATTTATAGTATTTTAAGATTAGTTCTTTTAATTCCGCATATGTCTGGATATCTTCTAGTTTAGACATACATCTCACTAATTTTGTTATGTGATTCGGATATATAATAATGCATATGCTTTTTGAAATGTAAGGAAATCTTCGTCATTATAGAAGTAAATTGCACTGTTTTTAGTACATAGGTATTCCTTGATTATATCCTTTGGAGTTTCTTCGGTCATTTCCTGGTAATTTATTTTTATTTTTAATTTATGAAAATAGTGTTTAACTTCTGTTGAATTTTCGTTTTCTTTTTGTAATTCGATTTGTCTTGAGAAATAATTAAACGGGTTTTCGGTGATCGCAATATAATTTGAATTATCTTCCTTAGTGCTGTGTATAGTTGCATTGTTGGAATCATTATATATTTCTCCGAACATGTTTTCTTCGATTCTAGTCCGAGATAAAGCGTCTGCTACATAATTTTCTTTTCCAGGAAGGTATTTGATTTTGTAATCAAATTCGTTTAATTTTATTTTCCAGTGTTGTAATTTTGTATTTGGTTCTTTAATATTATTTAACCAAACAAAGGGTTTATGATCGCTAAGTATTTCAAAAGGTCTTCGGAATAGATAAGATCTAAAATATTTTGTTTCCCAAACGATTGCTAAAAGTTCCTTTTCTATCGTGGCATAATTAATTTCGTGTTCGTTTAAAGTTCAGCTTGCATAAATTATTGGTTTATGATTTTGTGATAATACAGCTCCAATTGCTATATTACTTGCATCAGTTATTAGAGAAAATGTTTTACTAAAGTCAGGGTAAACAATTATTGGGGCTGAAGTAATAAGTACTTTTAGCTTTTCGAACGACTCTATATAATTTTTACACTTTGTGTCTATTACTGCTTCTTTTTTTAATTTAAGTAACATTGGTTTTACTACATTCGCAAAATTAGGAATGAATTTGCGATAGAAACCGCATAATCCCAAAAATGACTTTATTTGTTTTGGAGTCTTAGGTAATAGAAAATAAGTTATGGCACTTGTTTTGTTAGGACTAGGTTTTATTCCATTTGTTGTTACAACATGTCCTAAAAATTCTGTTTCTTTCTTTAGGAATTCACATTTATCCAATTGTAGCTTTCAATTTGCATTCCTTAGTTTCTCAAAAACTTTCTTTAGAGACAAGATGTGTTCTTCCAATGAAGTGGAAAAAATGATTATGTCGTCAAAATATACTAAACAATCTTATATAGATTTTCAACTAAGTACCTAATTTGGAGAATATTTTCGAACTTTTTTGCTTCTTTTAAAAAGTTTTCATAAGTTCTTTGTGTTTTTGCTAGATTTACGCTTAGGTAGTGATATTCGAATCTCTTAGGATTGTTATTATTCCTGTTTTGAATATGAAATATCCATTTTTCGCTTCGATCGGGTTTATCTCCATACTTTGTCCATTAGTTATTGTTGCTAACTGGATTACTAGGATTAGTACGTGTAGTAGATTGGTCTTCTTCTTCAGTTCTTCTGGAATTATCAAATTTGCTTTTATTAAACTTCTTTTTCTTTTTATATTTTGACTTATAATGCATGATTTTCCTGACTCTTTAAGTTTCTTCATAATGTTTATTATCTATTTGTTTAATTTCACCAGTTTTCCAAAATGGGTTAGTAATTTTAGCTTTTACAATAGGAGATTGTCTATTTAGTGTCAATTTCATAATCACTTTGTTTATTTAATTTATAAATCTTTCGAATTTTGTTTTGTTGAGTGTTAAAATCAGGTGTTCCTGCGTATATGAATATATCTGCTGGTGTCCTCTTAGTCGTATTTTGTTTTGTTTTGTGATTGTATTTATATAAAATTGTTTCAAATTTAGTGTACTTGTTCTCAATGTTTTTCTCATTGCTTATAATTCGTAATTTCTCGTTTATCGTTTTGTGTAATCTTTCCACGTCTGATATTCCATTCTTACTTGTCGTAATGGAGATTTCTACTTCTTCTGATTCTAACCAGTTTTGTAGGGCTGCGCACATGAATGCTGAATCCTTGTCCTGCGTATATGAATATATCTGCTGGTGTCCTCTTATTGGTATTATGTTTAGTTTTGTGATTGTATG